CAAGGATGTGGAGAAAAGGGAACCCTAATACACTGCTGGTGGAATTAAGACTGATGCAGCTGCTGTGGAAAACAGTATAGAGGTTTCTAAAAAAAAACTGAAAATGTAACTGCCGTTTGACCTAGTGATTTCACTTCTCAGAATATATCCTAAGAATCTTGAGACATCAATCAGAAAGAATATATACACCCCTAAGTTCATAGCAGCACTATTTACAATAGTTAAGATCTGGAAATAGTCCAAATGCCCATCAGTAGATGAGTAGATAAAAAAGCCATGGTACATTTATACAATGCAACTCTATGCAGCTGTAAAGAAGAAGGATCTCTTACCCTTTGAGACAGCTTGGAGGGACCTGGAGACTATTATGCTAAGGAAAATAAGCCAGTTAGAGAAAGACAAGTATCACATGATCTCACTCATATGTGGAATCTAATGAACAAAAGAAAATGATGAACAAAATAGTACCAGAGATAGGAACACATGGAACAAAATAACAGATCTCCAGGGAGGTGGGGGAGGGAGAGAGCAGGAAGAGATTAACTAAGAATATATGTATAACTCAGGGGCAGAGAAAGTAGTGTGGGGAAGGCCTGGATAGGACAGGAGTTGATGGGGGCAAATAGGCAAAAGATAATGAATGTGTTATTAACACATACTGATAAGTGTAAATTTTAAAATTATCCTACCTAATAAGAGTAATATGCAAATTAACCATCATTCCACTATACCCACAAGGCACACCCACAAGCCAATCAGAGAGAGTATGCAAATTAATCCCAACCAAGATGGCTGCAGCCACAGAGAACATGAGGGAGGCTTGGGTTTCTCTGGCAATGGAAGAAGCCAAGCTTTCTGCCTGCCCTTGCCGGCCTAAGCCTCCTTTCAAGGCTACAAAGTTTTAATTATAGAAGCTAAACAAATCCAAACAGAAATGGCTGCTGCCACAGAGCAAGCAGGAGACTTAGCTCTGCTCCAGGCTACAAAGTTTCAATTGTAGAAGGTAAACAAATCCCAGATACCAGGGCCTCTGCTTGGGTCACTGGGGGGCGTGGCTGACCTGCAAACTACAACTGGCCCCTTGCTCAGGCTGCCACATGCACCAAGGGAACCCCCACCCTGATCTAGGACACCCTTCAGGGCAAAATAGCTGGCCCCCACCTGTGAACCAGGCCTCTATCCCATCTAATAAAAGAGTAATATGCAGATTTACCATCACTTCAACACACAATATGGCTGCCCCATGTAGTGAAAGATCTGCCCCTATGTGGACACAAGATGGCTAGGGATAGTTGAGAGGGACCAGGCCTGCAAGGAAGGACAATTGGAGGCAATCAACCCTGCAGGGGAGGGCATTTAGGGGTCACCAGGCTGGAAGAGGAAGGAAATTGGGGGCAAATGGGCTGGCAGGGGAGCAGTTAGGCATCAATCAGGCTGGCAGAGGTACAGGCAGAAGCAGTTAGGGGCAATCAGAAAGGCAGGCAGGCGAGCAATTGGGAGCCAGCAGTCCTGGATTGTGAGAGGGATGTCCGACTGCCCTTTAAGTCCTGATTCTACCAGGATTGGGCTAAATGGGCAGTTGGACATCCCTCAAGGATTGGAGAGGGTGCAGGCTGGGCTGAGGGACAAACCCCCTCAGCGCCCCTATGCATGAATTCTTGTGCACCTGGCCTCTAGTTTATAAAATAGATTTTTTTAGGACATAGAATGCTTTCAGGTGTTACGGAATGGATAGTGTTGGTGAGGAAATGATATTAAGAACGGGAATATACAGTCCTTTGATTCTAGATAAGTGATGTGGCCATAATAATCAAAGGAGACACAGTAGTTCTTATTAATGCATTAGGTTGTAGACAGAGAGAGAATTTAAGGAAACAGTCAAATCCAGCTTTCCAACCATCTCAACACATCCCCTTGTGACATGATCATCTTCTAAGCCATTATGGAGTTCATGAAAGTTACTATATATTCTTCTTCTTGTTAGCCCTAATTTGATATTTGAATGTACATAGAAATTTTACCTTATTTTCTTCTCATATACATGTTTTCTTATCAGATCTTTAATTGGTAATATATTTTAGTCTTTCAGCCTTTTCTCATATGTCTTTATTTCCAGATTTGCTATCATCCTAACTTTCCTCTTATGAACATGATGCTGTTAGTCATTATTCTTGACATACAGTCCCCCAAACTGCACATAGGATTTTATGAGAACTGACAATCATAAGGTGTATCAGATTTATTGCTTCTTTCAATTGGGTACTGATATAGACCCAGATTGTATCAGTACTTTGAGGAGACATAAAAGTATTAATAATAACTAAAATGTATTGACCACTTGCAATATTCCAGGTAAAGTGCTAAGTACTTTATATGTATTTTATCCTTTTATCTTTATAACAATTTTCTGAGTTTCAAACTGTAGTGAATCTTAGACAGATTTACTTGCTCAATGTAAGGCATGCCCATATGTCTTAGTAATTATTGGAGATTCTCTTCTAACTCAGGTTTGCTGTCATTAATAACTGGGTTTTTATCCACTGTGCTACTGTATTTAAATATCTTGCCATCTATGAGTTACTGCTATGTTTACTGTCAATGAAGTGTCTGGAGACTTTCATATTAATTGCTATTAATTAGCTATTGGTTTTTTAGTAGACATGCATATAATGTTGTTTGCATTTATTACAAGCCATTGTTACAGGTTGTTGAGGTTAAATTCTTTTTTCTCTCATCCATGTAACCAATTTTCCGTACTGTAGTTCTCTAGCATTAGCACTTGACAAATTGCCTGCACTAGTCTTACAGAGAGAGTTTTTGCCCAAAGTTGGTAATGATCTGTTAATCAGAAATTTTTGGTAATAGTGTTTCTACATCTGTAAATTTGTATCACAGCACTGTTAATCAGCCTGTGTTTCTTTATTTTATCCATACAGATATTAATGAGAGATGTAGAAAAAAAGTATAATTTCACTAATGACTTATTTTCAAGACTTGATAATTTTGTTTTCTTTCTAGGTAGTCAGTGAAATAGTGCATCTCAACATTAGTTTTGACATTCAGAGAAGATAAACCCAAAATTACAGTTTGTTCTTCTTTTAATTGATCTTTATACAGGACATTATAACTTGATAGTGTATCTTAAAGGCAGATAATTATTTCAGTTTAGACAGTGGTAACAATTGTTAACATTTATAAGATAACTCATACTTGACAAAGTCTTTTTAAATAGTCTTTTTTAATCTCCCCCAACTTATATGTGACATGTGTTATTCATCTTGCCATTTTTACAGTGATAAACAAATTTAAGATCACGTAGCTTAAGAGTGATTTAGTTCTCATGACTTAATTTTCTAAGTCTGAATCTTATATTCTTTCATTGTCAGACTGCCTCTCAATAGTATAAATGAAGTAATTAGATAAACAATGGCCAATGAAGAGATTGAAAAAATAATATGTGATTTGGATAGTTTAATAAATAGTTGAGAGTTCAGGGTTGAGTCTGATGAATTTGAATGTACCCATAAAAAGAAAAGAACCAGGGTAATGGGGGGAGGTGAGGACATATATGTAATACCTTAATCAATAAAGAAATTTTAAAAAAACCAAGTACCCATATGTAATGAAGAAAAATTTTTGGCACAAGTCAAATTTTCAAGTTTATAACCTTTGCTTATAAAAAAAGTCATGAAGTTATTTGAGCATGAACCATTGATACAGATTCCTTGAAGTAGAGCTTTTTAATGGGAAAATTGTAAAATATAGGTATATTTAAAGATCTAATTTAGATTAGATATTTTGTGTTCTCCATCACCAGTTTTCAAGCATTACACTTGAGCTTAAAACATCTAATTTCTAGATCAGTGATTTTCAGCTGGTATGGCATACTAGTGTGTTGCAAAAATTTTTAAAACATGTAATATCTGATTCTTTAGTCAGAGGAATTAACCTCTTTTTCCTTAGGTTGTTAAATTAAAAAATGACAACAGCCAACACAACAATAGCTGTCTGATGTGAATGAAGCAAAATTATACCTAATTTTTGTCAGATTGGCAAAATATATAACATTTTTTGGTGGGCTGCAGAATTTTAGTAATTAGTTTATGTGTGCCATGAGATGAAAAAGATTGAAAATCGTTGTTCTAGATAAATAAGTTCAATGTGTCCTTGAAATGAAGTAGCAGTGCTGTAAACTTTGAGAAGAGGAAAGCCTCCTGCAAAGAAATAAAGATACCTGGTATTATGTTAGAAAATAATTTCTTTATCCTTTAATATTCCTACGCATTTATAATTTAAGGTTAGCACAAGGTCACATTCAGACTTTTTGTGTGAAATTCATTTAAATATGCTAAAGAAATATGGAAGAAAATACTCAGCTCCTATGTTCAGAAAGTCAAGGCTTAAAAGCTAATAGATTTTCACCAAATACCTAGTGTATAGTCATAGTTTTTTTTTTTTCCCAATCCATTCCTACTATGATGAATAATTCAATTTTGTTCATAAAAATAAAGTATAAACTTATTTGGTATCAGAGTTTTTGGTTTAATTTTTTGCTTTACTATGAAGAAGATTTAGAATTCGATTTTCAAAGTTCTTACGACTATTTTACAGATGGAGAATAAAATGTAGGTAAGGTGGACAATTTATATATATTTTGCAAAAAAAAAAAAAAAAAAAAAGGCCATTGTGCATATGCAAAATATTCTAACTTGAGCACACATTTTCCCAAATTCATGATTATAGCCCACATGCCATTTTGAGAAATGTTTGAAAACTTCAATTCTGCATAAATGTTTGCTACATGAATTATAGTAGTGAATACACTTTATAATATGTTTAATATCCATATTGTTTCAAACAATGAAGTTGTGTTCAGGAGTTTTAAAGCAAGGGAAAAGAAAGAAAAGAAAATAGTATCTTGTCTATATGTATCTGCCATGGTAGGATTACAATTCATCAAAACCTTGTGTTGTTTATTACTTCCTATCATTTCTTTGCAGGAGTGTCGTGGTGCCTGTGAAGAAGCCACCTCCAGGAAGTTTAGCTGTAACCACTGTGGGAGCCACTGCGGCCGGAAGTGGGCTGCCAACAGGCAGCACTTCTAATATATTTGCTGCTACTGGAGCTACACCAAAAAGTATGATTAATACAACAGGTATTGTCCTTATATATTTTTGTGATATCTCATTGTTTTCTTTCTGTTTTCTGTATCTTCATTTTTGTGTTTATTTGATATTAAAAATAAAATACCCTGATCATTTAAGGTTATCTTAATTTTTAAGGTTCTACCTTATGTTATTACCTTTCAGAATTTGTCTGTAGTTCTAGGGTATATATTTTCATGGTCATTTGAGAAGACACTTAGTAATTGTGGTTTTGAGTCTTCTCAAAACATAGAACTTACTTTCAGAGTAAAATCAGGTTGCCAAAAGATATTTGGGGAGCAAAACCAATGGTAATTTGACCACTGAAGTTTTTTATGTAAAGTAGTACATTTTATCAAGAATAACAAGGTGTACTAAATATGTTAGTGGCAGAAATGAGATTTCATGACATTTAGTGGTTGAATCCTAATCTATATATTTTTGCTAACTCCTCTAAGGGAAGGCAGAGCACCCCTAAGAAGCTTGAAGATCTTCAACTTAAAAAAAAATGCATGTGACTAAGAACCATTGTATCATATTGAATTAGCATATATATATGGATTACAATTGTATCCAATTCATTGTCCAACACTTTTCTAATGATTCTAAGGACAGGCAATTCCAAATCACTACAAATTTTAAAAGCCTGCTTAAAATAGCCTTTAAAAATTTTTTTTTGTAAATTTCCAGAAATGTTCCTGTTGATTAATAGCTAAATAAATCCTTACCCAAATGTTTGTGATTCCATTTTAGGTATTTATACAGCGCAAGATGATCCCTGACTTTTCTTCCCTTATTATAGTAGCCTTCTCTTCTTCAAACTTTCCCATCTATTATCATTATTTAGATTATTAATTTCATAGCTCTTTGTGCTTTCTGTATCTATGTTGTTTAACATACCACCAGAGTAACATAGCATGAGCAACACGTTTATGTGGTTATAGTAAGTAGAATGTACTCTGATATTTATATGAGCAAATAAACATCATTGATGGCATTGTGCTAAAGAACATAACATCTTTGATTTACCTGTATTATAAATAAATACATTTGGCTTTTCTGAAGACTTTATATAAATTTTTTGTATTATTTACAATCTTACTCTTTTTGCTTTCTAGATATAGAAATACAAATGTTTTTCTTTTACCAAAATATATACCAGAAAATATGTTAAACTTTTTAACATACTCGAATGTGCCAATGTAGTAGAGAAAAATCTGCATTTGATATTTATTGAATAAATTCTTATTTTAAAAATATAGGTAAATGAAAATTTAAATCAGCTTTTTATCTTTATATGAAACAAGTTATTTTGTTCTAATGTGTATTTTATGAATAAATAAGAAATATAGGAAGTGATGGTAACAAAAGATCTGATAGTATGAAGTACATAATATTATAATGAAAAATAAAATCCTATATAATAAAACCCTAATATGCAAGTAACTGAATGGCAGAAAGACCTGTCACTGTGATGCACAGTGACTACTAGGGGTCAGAGACTCAATGCAGGAGCTGTCCCCTGCTGGTCAGTGCTCTCACACAGGTTGAGTGCCGTTCAGCCAGAAGCCGGGCTCACGGCTGATGAGCACAGTGGCAGTGGCAGGACCCTCTTCCGCCTTTGCTGCAGGCAGGCAGTAAGGAGTGAGGGGTCCTGGACTGTGAGAGCTCCGGACTGCGAGAGGGATGTCTGACATCCCCCGAGGGGTCCTGGACTGTGAGAGGGTGCAGGCTTGGGCTGAGGGACCCCTCCCCGCCCAGTGCATGATTTTCCTGCACTGGGCCTCTAATGTAAGTAATAAATTCCCTCCTTAGAGGTTTTGTTGTCTTACAAAATGTGCATACAAACTTTGTGGGCCAGCATCTAAATGGGACCCATTATCCAGTTAATACAAGGTGTCCCAAAAATGTATACGCACTTTGAATGATTATAAAGCCAGTATTTATTAATATATAGTTAATCTTTAGAATTTAAAAGAATCACAGAAATGAATAAAATTTTTGGCCAATGCCTGTTTTCAAACTGATGAACATTCTAGTCCAGGAACTGCTGATAGAGTTAAGTAATTGAATCTCAAATATCAAGAATAATTTCTTTCAGTATTAGTGTGCCCTGAATTCATCAACTATTGCTGGCTTTGTTTAATAAAATTTATCTTTATCCCTATTAAAAAAAAAAGTCTGAGGCACTTTGGGATAAATTTTCTTTTGTTCAAAACTTAGTCTGGCTTTACCCATTATTTCAAATCTGTTAAACATGAAAGGAATGAAAATTAAGTGAATGATCAGCTATTGAAGTATGTATACATTTTGTGGGGATAGCCTATGTTTTGGTACAGAGATGCTTTATGTATTAAGAGTGGAAATCCCAGGAAGCAATCCTGTTTTATGGGAATTCATATAAGATAAAATAATATTTAGGAACACTAGATGTCTCTCAACTCCAACACTATTTCATATACTTAAGAATTATAGAAAAGTCTGTTCTAAAATGGCATCTTCATATCATTGAGAACTCATTTTAAAATCAGGTATAGATATACTCATTATAGCCCTTCTTATATAATCATTCTATCAAAATAAATATTTGGTGCTTTAGTGCTACAAATTTATACTCAGACAATTTATTGTTAATTATATCTTAAATAATGGAAACTAAAAATATTACAGCATAGCCATAAAACAGATAAATCTTCTACATCTAACTTTGCATGGTTTTATCAGTCACATTTTATCTAAAATTATTTTAATTTATTGATGTTTATTTAGACCTCATTTGTAATGTGTAGTTTTGTTAGATTAATATAAGTAAGTCAACGAAATTTAATGCAACACATTAACTATAATTATAAGTAATTAGTGTACTAATAGCCAATTATTTTTTAATTGTTAAATTGCTTTGAAATTCAGATGAGTAATTCTTCAAAATCAGATAGCAATAATGTAATGAAAATTATTTTGTTAAATGAAATTTGTGTCTAAGGTTAGAAATTATTATTTTGGAAACAGGTGCAGTGGATTCAGGGTCCTCGTCCTCTTCCTCCTCTTCTAGTTTTGTGAATGGTGCTACCAGCAAAAACCTTCCAGCTGTACAAACTGTTGCTCCAATGCCAGAAGATTCGGCTGAAAACATGAGGTATACATTACAATTTGTTTGATGTTTTACTCATTTTACTCCCTCCCTGCCCTTTCAAACATAGTGAAACAGTACATAATGAACACAAAGGTAGGGCAGAGTGGGGGTAATGGAGGAATAAGGACACATATGTAACACCTTAATCAATAAAGAACTTTTTATTTAAAAAAAAAGGTATAGCCAACAATTTTTGAGAATGGTATTATGTATTGTGACTACATTTCATAATTGCATTGTTTTAATACTTTACCTTGTTATTCATTATACAAAAATCTGTTATATTTCAGCATCCAGAGATCTTGAATACTTTTCAGACATTGACTATACTGAATATATAATCCATTGTCATATAGCGTTTTACAATATCCAATAAAATAAGAAACATAGGATAAAATTAGGCATCTTTGGGATGATGAAGAAAAGTTTAAATATAGACTTTCAAAATAAACTTTTAAATTATAGGTTAACATATAATTGGAACTTGAATAACCAACACTTTTATTATGATTAATAGGTAAAAATGTTTTTAGCTCTGGCCAGTGTGCCAGTGTGGCTCAGTTATTTGGGTGTCATCCTATGCACTGAAAGGTTGCCTGTTAGATTCCAGGTCAGGGCACATTCTTAGATTGCGGGTCCAGTCCCTGGAAGGATGCAGCCAATTGATGTCTCCCTCTCACATAAATGTTTCTCTTTCTTCCTCTTTTTTCCTTTCTCTCAAAAATTAGTAAAATAAATAAATAAATAAATAAATAAATATTCTTAATTAAAAAAAATTAAATTGATTGCAGTGATATTAGTCAACATGAACATATGGCTTTCTGTGTAACAAGATCTTATAGTGCACCATATGTCTACTACCCAGAGTCAAATCTTCTCCTGTCACCTTATATTAGGGCCCCTTTGTTTTAGTAGCATATCAAACAGCATTCCTAGAAGAGACTGGCCTATATTCTTGGAGACACACACACACACACACACACACACACACACACACACAGGTATATGTATGTATTCACATTTTTAGTTTAAGTATTACACAAATGCAGAATGTAAAAGCTCAATGAACAAATGAATACACTCATATTACCATCACCGAAATCCAAAAGTAGAATGTTACTAGTGCCCCAATAGCCCAACATTGTGCTCTTTTTCTTTACACTCTTCTTGCTCCCCTTCAGATTCACTACCCTGACTTTTAATACTAGGTTAGTTCTGTAATTTTTGAATTTTATATAAATGGGATTGTACAGTATGTATTTTTTTGTCTCTGGCTTCTTTTGTTCAACATTATGTTTATGATATTCATCCATGTTGTATATAGCAAAAGTTTATTTTTATTCCATTTTTATATTTTGTGGGAATATAATTATAAAAATATTACAATTTATTAATCTATTTCACTGATGATAGTCATTCTAATTTTCTAGTTTAGGGCTACAAATAATGCTATGTTTTGCACAGCAGTGCTGCTTGTACTTCTACTCTTAGTTGGATTTAGCATTTGTATGTATACCTTTTGGGTAAATAACATGGAGTAGTATTTCTGATTCATTTGTGCAAGTTCAATTGTATTAGATAATGCTAGTTGGTGTTCTAAAGTGGCTATGTAAGTTAACTCAGCAGCAACATATGAGAGTTCATATTTATTCACATCTTTAACAATGCTTTGTATTATCAATCTTATATTTGTAACATTTTGGTAGAAGTATAGTGATGTTCCATTGTATTTTTAGTTTGCATTTTCTCGATGATTAATGAAGTTGAGCACTCTCTTATATATTTATTGGTCTTTCATTTTTCTCTTTTGTAATTTACCTGTTGAAGTCCTTTTTTAATTAAAAAAATACAATTACTTATCTTTTTAAATTAATTTTAAAGGTTCTTTATGAATTTTTAAATTGAGCCATGTGATGATTATGGTATCTGTCAATCTGTCTTTTTATCATCTATCTATATATCTGTCTATCTATTATATTATCCTATTTTGTTGCTTTATATGATCTGTTTTGATCATATGGAAATTGTAAAATTTAATGAAACAGTTTATCTAGTTTGGTTTGTTAGTGCTTTTTGTGTTGTAGGTGATACCTTTGCCTACATTTTTCCTACCTTACCTTCTTGTTTTTTATACATAGACTAGAGGCCTGATGCATGAAATTCGTGTGGGGGGAGAGGAGAGAGTGGTGTCCCTCAGCCCAGCCTGCACCGTCTCCAATCTGGGACCCCTCGAGGGATGCCTGATTGACTGTTTAGGCCCGATCCCACCTAAACGGGCAGTTGGACATCCCTCTCATAATCCAGGACTGCTGGCTCCCAACTCTCGCCTGCATGCCTTCCTGATTGCCCCTAAGCGCTTCCACCTGCCAGCCTGATCAACCCCAAATATTCCCCTGCCAGCCTGATTGATGCCTAACTGCTCCCCTGCCAGCCTATTTGCCCCCAACTGCCCTTCCCTGCAGGCCTAGTCACCCAAAACTGCCTCCACTGCAGACTTGTTTCCCCCCCAACTGCCTCCCCTGCAGACTTGATTGCCCCCAACTGCCCTCCCTTGCAGGCCTTGTCCCTCCCAACTGCTCTCCCCTGCTAGCCATATTGTGGTGGCCATCTTGTGTCCACATGGGGACTGGATCTTTGACCGCATGGGGGCAGCCATCTTGTGTTTTGGAGTGATGGTCAATCTGCATATTACTCTTTTATTAGATAGGATAAAGGCCTGGAGCTTGGGTGAGGACAGCTGGTTTGCCCTGAAGGGTGTCCTGGATCAGGGTGGGGGTTCCCTTGAGGTGTGGGGCAGCCTGAGCAAGGGGCTTGTGGTGGTTTGCAGGCCAGCCATGCCCCCTGGCAACCCAAGTGAAGGCCCTGGTATCTGGGATATATTTATCTTCTACAATTGAAACTTTGTAGCCTGGAGAGGAACCTCATGCTTGCTCCATGGCTGCAGCCATTTCTGTTTGGATTTGTCTACCTTCCATATTTGAAACTTTGTAGCCTTGAGTGGAGGCTTAGGCTGGCAAGGGCAGGCGGAAAGCTTGGCTTCTTCCATTGCCAGAGAAATCCAACCCTCCCTCCTGTTCTCTGTGGCCACAGCCATCTTGGTTGGGGTTAATTTGTATACTCGCTCTGATTGGCTGGTGGATGTGGCTGGTGGTGTAGTGGAGGTATGGTCAATTTGCATATTACTCTTTTATTAAATAATATGTATCTTTCATCTGGAATTAAGTTTCCTGAATTTAATGAGAATGGGAATAATATGGATGTCAAGATGACCCAGCACCATTTATATGAAAAAACAAAACAAAAAAACTCTTCTTTCCCCCATGCTCTGCCACTTTTGTCACAAATCAAGTATCCCTATATACTAGACTTGTTTATCAGTCAGTTGCACCACATTTGTCTATTTGTCTATCCTTATGCCATAATCTCATAATTACTCATAGTGTTTAGTAATTAATATGAATATCTTGCCTGGCTGGTATAGCTCAGCAGTTGAGTATTGATCCAGGAACAAAGAGGCGACCAGTTTGATTCCCGGTCAGATTACTTGCCTGGCTTGCAGGCTTGATCCCCAGTATAGGAGTGTGTAGGAGCCAGCCAATCAATGATGTTCTTCTCATCAATGTTTCTATCTTTCTATCCTTCTCTCCCTTCCTGTCTCTAAATATCAATAAAAACATATTTTAAAAAAAATAAAATGAATATCTTGTTGAGTAAAGTCTTTCCAACTTTGTCCTCTTTTCAAGAAAGTGTAAGCTATTCTTAATTCTTAGCATTAGTTTAGATTTTAGAATTAATTTGCTAATATACAAGTTAAAAACAATTTGTTGTGGTTTTGGCAAGGAATGGAATTTATAGATCTATTACATTTGGAGTTCTATTGCATCTATAAATCTCCCTCAAGATTGTGATTTCCAAACTATAAACATATCATATAGCCCTTCAGTTTCCTTAATTTTTCTCAAAAATTTTTTAGTAACAGTGTTTACTGTTCCATGTTGAAGTCATATGTTTCTTACTTGAGTTATTCTGAGAATTTTAATATTTTGTATTTGTATATTTTTCTCAGTGATGAGAGAGGATCATTGATCAGCTGCCTCCTGCATGCCTCCTATTGGGGATCAAACACAAAACCTGGGCATGTGCCCTGCCTGAGAATCAAACTGTGATCTTCTGTTTCATAAGTTGATGCTCAACCACTGAGCAGCACTGGCAGGGCTAAGTTTTGCTATATTAAATACATATATCTTTGTGTAGGTCTCTTTGGGTTCATCTCTGTGCCTCTTGGACATTAATGTCTATTTCCTACCTCAGATTAAGAATGTTTTCAGCCATTATTTCTTCCAATATACTTGCTGCTGGATTGACAGGGCAGTTGCCTTTGGAGAAATTGTGTGCATTGCTTGGTGTGCCACCTAGTCAGAAGAATTTGGCTTCAGGTGGAGTAGCCTATGTCTGAGAGTGCTTCCTTGCACTTTTTAATCCAGATTGGCCACTTCCTGTGCACAAGGTATGCCTTGCTGCTTTTATTATCTGCTTCCTGAGTCAGGTCTAGGCAGGGTTACTCTGAGTGCACTGTTTGCAGTGCCCTACTGGTTCCTCTCTTTCTCGGAACGGGGCAGTTCTGTGTGAGCACATCATCATACTTTGCTAGTTCTGCACCCTTGACTGGTAGGCAACCTCATGTGTGCGCACATCAGTGCTCCACTATCATTGCACAGGGCATCCTGGTCTGCAGGTAGCATACATTATCTTATTTCATCGCTTTGTGAGGATGGGGCAACCCCCCATGTATACATTGCTGCATTTTGCTTGTTCTGCATCATCTTTGAGCAGGACAGCCCCATGTGTGAGTGCTGTGGTGCCCCACTATTTCCATACTTTCTCCAAAAAGGGCAGATCTGTGTGTGGGTACCACAGCAGTTTGCTAACTCCACACTCACTTCAGGAGGGGGAGCCATGTGCGCACATGCAGTCTATTGGCTGCACACAGCAGTGCCCTTCTA